AATGATTAAAGGCCTTGAGACTAAAACATATGAAAAACAGTTGCAGGATTTGGGTATAGCCAATCTAGAAAAAAAAAAGGACTAAAGGGGACATGATAGCAGTATTCCAATATTTGAGAGGCTGTCACAAGGAGGAGGGGATCAATTTATTTTCCAAAGCACCAGAAGGCAAGACAAGGAACAATGGATGGAAACTGATTAAAGAGAGAAGCAACCTGGAATTAAGGAGAAATTTCCTAACAGCGAGGACCATTAATCAGTAGAACAGCTTGCCTTCATACATTGTGGGTACTTCATCACTGGAGGTTTTTAAGAAGAGACTGGATAGTCACTTGTCTGCAGTGGTAGGGTCTTCTGCTTGAGCAAGGGCCTGGGCTAGAAGACCTCCAAGGTCCCTTCCAGCTCTATTCTGATTGATTGATTGTATATATGGTCTTTTAAAGTGACAATTTTGATGCTTTTATAGGTAGTCCTGACAACCACAACAAAGCCCAAAATTTCTGTTGCTAAGCAATTCAGTGAAATTTTAAGTTAGTAACATGGTTGTTAAATGAATTTAGCTTCTCCATTGATTTTGCTTGTCAGAAGGCTGCAAATTGTGATCACTTGACCCTGGGACCCTGCAACCATCATAAATACATGCCACTTTGCAGTCATCTGAATTTTGATCATTTGACTATGGGGATATTATAATGATGTAAGTGTGAAAAATGGTATATCACTATTTTCAGTGCTGTTGTAATTTTGAACAGTCACTAAACAAATGATTGTAAGTTGAGGATTACTTGTATTTTGAAGTTTGCAATGTGGCACAAACAAAAAAGTTTATGCTCCCTAAGTATAAGAGATTTCATGAAGTGTGTATGAACACTTTTTCATTTACTCTGTGTTAGTTATTACTAAGATTGGGAGATATGATTTAAATCTAAAAAAAAATCAGTATGCACATAATTATATGCTATGTCACTAAGGATATTTTGGTAAAACATCTAGAAAGAACAATACAGTAATCAGTTATGAAGTGCATAAGCTTTATTTTATAGATTATTTGGATATTACTAGTATAATGTATTAAACAATTCAAAGGGTCTGTTATAAAGAAACAGTTAACTGATCGCTTTATTTGAATGATAAACTGTCTGTATAACTTTAAGCCTGTTGTTTTAGGGGGGAATACTTTAAACTGATTGGCCGCCGCCTAGTGGCGGTCCATATAAATATAAGTCAGGCAGCTGCTAGAGCTTGCTTCTGTGAGGACTTAATAAAGAGCTGTTAATTTTACTCTGTGTCCTCAATGCCTCGCTGTTCCCACTACTGTCACATGTTCCGACTAATGAAGCACTGTCAATGCTGCAAATACTGTATATTCTTGCTTTGACAACTACACAACAACTAGTATGATATAGACCTGTAGTGGCGAACCTATGGCATATGTGCCATTACCACAGATAGAGGGATGCCGGGCTGGACTTCTCCCCTCCCCCTCTCTACGCATGTGGAGTCTGGGCATAGTCGAGGGATCTGGGCGGAGTGAGGCTATAAAAGGAGCAAATTTGGGCAGGAGCAGCATTTGGTGCAGACAGCGAGCGAGCACGAGCCAACAGTGGTAAGTTTCAGTGGGTGCTGCTCGCAGCCCATCGAATGGCCAGCCACGCAGGGGAGGAGGAGGATGAGAGGCGGCCTGGTGTCAGAAGCTGCCTTGGCTGGCTGCTGGCCTCAGCAGGCCCCAACGAGGCAGCATTCAGTCACCGGCTGCTCAGCCTTGTGGGGCAGTGGCGATGGCGGCGGCAAAGGTTGGGAGGGGGGCTTTACCTCATCCAGGGGCCAGGGAGAAGTTGCCTGCCCAGCCTCGTGCATGGCAGCAGTGGCCTGGGCAGGCTCTGGTAAGCCAGGCAAGGCCAAGGAGCCAGCCAGCCAGCAAGCAAGAATCGGGTTGGGTGGGGGGATCTGGATCTGGCCCCTTTTATCTCATCCAGGGGCCTGGGAGAAGTTGCCTGCCCAGCCTCATATGCGGCAATGGCGGCGGAGGCGGCGGCGGTCCAGGCAGGCTCTAGTAAGCCAAGCAGGGCCCAGGAACCAGTCAGCCAGCCAGTGAGAGCAGGGTTGGGGGGGGATTGGGATTTAGCCCCTTTTACCTCGTCCGGGGGCCGGGGAGAAGTTAGCTGCTCAGCCTCGTGCGTGGCAATGGCGGCAGAAGCGGCGGCAACCCAGGCAGGCTCTGATTAAGACAGGCAGGGCCAAACAGGGATGAGCACTTCCTCACCTGCATCCAGGACGCCATCTCTCAGGTGCTGAAGGGCTACGATTGGAGCCTGGTGCCCATGCCACTGCAGGGCCACAGAGTGCTGAAGGCCAAGCCACATATCAAGCGGCCCAAGAACGCCTTCATGGTCTGGGCGCAGACGGCATGCAGGAAGCTGGCCAACCAGTACCCACACCTGCACAACGCCGAGCTCAGCAAGACGCTGGGCAAGCTCTGGCAGTGAGTAGGTCAGCTTGGAGCCTGGGCAAGGAGGGGCGATGGCGGCAGCCATGGGAGGGGGGCAGCGGCTTACCTCAGTCGGTCGGTCTGTCTCCCCTGCGGCTGACCCTCTTCCCAAGCTTGTGATTCAATGTGTGATGCAGACAATGGCTTCTCTGACTCGAGGGATTGACTGGCCGGTTGCATTTGGCACCAGAGCCCCCAAGGACTTGTGGTTGGCCTGACTGGGTGCTGGTCCTTCCGCCACTGTATGGGGACTTTCTCCATCCAAAGCTGCGAGTTTTGAGAATCGGAGCTAACTGACTGGCTCCTTTTGGACCGATTTTCCACCGTTGTTGCCAGCGAACAGGTTGGGGGTATGGCTGACTGTGGATGATGGGAGCTCCATCCTCCAGTTGTTGGGAAAGCCGTGTATTGGGCTGGCCTGGGAGATTTTTAAGCCTGAGGGGGGAGTCCCAGGCTCAGTAAGTGGAAGAAGTAGCGGAGTGGCCACTTAGATGCAGCATTTGGTTTAAGTTGTTGAGATGATCAACCGACCTGGGTATGTTCGGACCTTTTTTCTGACTAAGCCACCTTGAAAACTGACTCGACTTTCATCGGTTTCTATCTGCAGGCAATTCCTGTCCTGTTGGGTGATGGTTTGATGAAGGAGGGGAGCTGCACGTTGGAAGGCCTGAAAAATTAGGAGGTCTCTAATTTTAAGTGGACACGCATGTTCAGAAGGGATCAGACTGGAACAGGGTGATGTAGTCCCAAACATGCATGTGTGTGCAAAACCTGGCTCTCATGGAGGTGTTTACAAACATTGGTTTACAACAGGGATCTTCAGACTTGGCCCTTTTATGACTTGTGGACTTCAGCTCCCAGAATTCCTCAGCCAGCATTCTTCCCTTCCTTTGAAACAAACAACACCCCCAATCTTCTCATTCCTGCCTTCTGAATTAAAACAAGAGAAAGCCAAGTTTTTTCTTTTGTGGTCTTTACATATTTAAACTGCAGCTAGAAGGAAGTGGGGAAGAAAACCATTGCGAGCCACTCTTCTGTTTTAATTTTTTTTCGTTGTCACTTTTTGGAGTTTTCATCCTGCTTTCGTGAGAGGGCAGCGTTTCAGAGATGATGTAGCTGCCCCCTCCCCCCCAAGCCATCAGCTGAGCAAGATGCCCACCTACCCACACTCTTTCCCCTGTCCGAGGTTTTCGTTGTTGTGAGCATTTCTGTTGAGGATTGGCGGGGGAAGGGCTGTTTGGTTTTTATTCCCTTCCCATCCGCTGGGTGGTTGCAGCAGGTTTTGGTCTCTTCTGTCCTGCTTTGAGGTTACCCACGAAGCACATTTGTTTTGCGGGGAGATCCCAACTCCGGTTGCTAAGCTTACTTAAACCCTCTTCCTCCACCTCCTCCTCACCAGAGCTGTCCTTTGTCTGCAACCAGCCCCTGCCCCGGTCCCTGCCTCGCCTTGCCTCATGGAAATGGCACCCCCACCTTGCCCCCTCCCTCACCTTGCCTCACCCTGTAGGATGAGCCTCCTGCCCACTGCCCCACCTGCCAGACACCCCTTGGATCTCCCCCAACCCTGCCCGGCCCCCACAGGCATCCCTCCCCAAGAGCATCGAAGTAGCCACACCCACCATCTGCCATGACTACTGTAGCCACGCCCACCCAGTGGGCCACGCCCACCCAGCACCCAGCAATACATAAGTGGGTTTTGGGTTGCTGTTTGGGCACTCAGTCTCTAAAACAGTGGTTCTCAACCTTTTTAATGCCATGACCCCCAAACAGTCGTGTCGAGGACTAAACCAGTCGTAAGTTGAGGACTACCCAACCGGTCGTAAGTCGAGGTCTTTCCCTGCCTGGAAGCGCCGCTCATGCGTGGTGCCACTCCCTGCGCCGGCCAAGGTGTAGCTGGCAAGCGACAGAGATGGAGCAGGCCGACCACCGGCTGGGCCACCAGCTGGCCCAGCCCAAGGGAGGTAAGGCACCTGCCGGAAAAGGGGGAAAAAATGGCGGACAGCCTTGCTTGGTGACCCCCATGAAATGGTCAATCGACCCCAAATGGGGTCGCAACCCATAGATTGAGAACCACTGCTCTAAAAGGTTCACCATCACTGTCTAGCCTATTGAAGAGAAGGATTAGGGGTGACATAATAGTTGTCTTCCAGTATTTTAGGGGCTGTCAACTTATTCTCCATAGCACTTGAGGACAGGACAAGAAACAATGGCTGGAGGCTCCTTAGAAATCTAATTTGAAACTAAGAAGAAATTTTCTGACAGAAGGGCTTATGCTACATGCCTGTTGCTTTTTATTACATTTTCAGTCTATTATTGTTGGATATTCTCATTTCACATACAAGATTCAAAATTAGGAAAAACAGGCCTCACATACAGAATGTTTGAGGCTTTTGGCAATAGAGAAGAAAGCTATAATGTATAGGTATTAATTATGGATCTATAATATTCAGTCATATTGTGGCCATAGACCTAATTGTTGAGCCCTGGCTTCACTGTGAGTACTTGTAATGTAAATGACTTCTGCTAGTGTAAAAACAGTACAAAAATCCTGGATTTCAGCATAGCTCAAACGTATTATAGTAAAACTAGCAGAAAAAGTAGGTCCTCCTACATTTTTAAAACGTCTTTTATTATGAAACATATTTTGAGTCTTGAGTAACGTTGGCAACACAAGCCAATTGATCCAAGACTTTTGAAAGCAATCGAATGCCCCAGTTGGATTGTGGGATTTGTTTGACCTAAATGGCTATTTCTTTGTGAGGTTTTGCTGGAAACGACCAAAAATTGTTTGTAGAGTTTAAAAACTGCATTTAAACATACCTTTTTCAAACGAAGGAAAAAAATGAATGAGGAAAAAAAATATCGATTTCCAATAATTGGGTTGATTAAGTAGCTTCATTTTCGATCCCGGAAAAAACAAAAACAAAGGGAACTTGGAAGTTTCGTCCTCGGCGTTTCTACAAGATCTATCTCTATAACAACGGTACCTGTTCAACCACAGAGAGGCGGCTTCCCGCGTTCTCATTTTGAGGAGCCTACATTGTGGAACGTGATGACGACACAGTGGGCGTGGCGTACATTCCGAACTACAAGGAAGCAGTGGCTCTGCCCGGCCGGTGCAGCGGTTCATAGTTAAGTCAGCCGTTGGTGAGCGAGTCCTGCTGCGGGCGCTCGTCTCCGGTGTAGCAAGACACCTTCAGCTTTGGCCGCTGCTGCGCTGCTGGTTGTGCTCGCTGAAGTTGAAGTCGTGTCATCTACGGGCCGCGAGCCTTGCCAGTAGCCCAGTGCAATGGAAAGCGGCGGGAGCGGGTCCGGGTTCGTGCGCGGAGCCGCTCGAGAGAAGAAGAAAGGCAAGAGTGCTGATGAGTCTTCGGTAGCAGGAGAGCCAGGCGGAGGAGGCGGCGGCGGGGGGAAACCGCGGAAATTTGTAAGTAGTTTTGAGAGAGAGGGAGGCCACCTGCCTTGTTGCAAAGGGATTTGGGGTAGTCCTCGGGCGGAGCTGCCCTACCTGCCTTTTCTTTGGTTCCCTGCGCTGGTGGAGCCGGCTCGGCCTTGTATATGGGTGCAGGCATTGCCCCATCAGTTTCTCGACGGGGCGAGGCAGGAAGTTTCCTTTCCTCATGGGTCCGTCCAATAGCAGAGTCTGAATTCTGCCTGCCTGAGTGTGATTCAGGCCTCGGTTCTACTCTTGCATCACCAACTTTTTTGGGAAGTTTTTTTTTTGTAGATTTAGTTAGTTCTCCACGTTTGCAGGATTCCTGGACTGTATCTTGATTAACCTTAACCCCAATCTTCACTTGATTTTTCTTTAATGGCATGTAACATCTGCAGTTTGCACCGTTCAACCTTATATTCTGCTTTAAAAGTTTCTATATCATGCCTGGATTAAGGTCCATTGAAAAAGTAAACATACATAACAAGCTGTGACCTTTATCTGCATTTTTTTTGGCCAGCAGTAAAGTCTCCTTCCAGAGTGCTCTGAAGCTGTTCTTAGAATACTTTTGAAGGGATCAGGGCAGATTAGAATATAAGAGTTGAGTCAGGCAAGATCCAGCTTAGTTCAGCATTTGGTTTCCAATAGGAGCCAGTCAGATGCCTCTAGTTCCTCCAAGCAAGAGGTGGAAAAATACCTTTCATCACTTGTTCCCTTGCAACATATATTTGGAAGCAAACTACCTCCAACCTGGAGATAACTCTTTGACCCTTTGATAGATCTTTAATAAAGGTGACCTTGTTGAATTACGCAATTCCTTTTAAAAACTGTCCAAGTTAGGGACCATCATACATCTTGAGGAAATGAATTTCAGAGCTGTCTGTTCCAAGTCTTCCAGTTAGCTTCACTGATCAACTTGTCTTAGTGTTTATTATTTATTCGATTTTTATTCTGCTTTTATTTTGTGCAACTCAGGGTTATGCCTGTAATGCTCCCTTTTCTTCCAATTACAACCCTGTGAGGTGTAGTGAGCTGAGACATAGCAACTGACTTAAAATCATCCAGCTTCCTTATGTACCTCATGGAGTACTAGAACTCATAGTCTCCCAGGTTCTAGTCCACTCCTTAGCTCGTACAACAGGTTGCCTTTCTGGTGTGTGCGTGTGTGGAAATTCTCCGTGTTAACTTTCTAATGTCATGAATAGTTTAATATAACTCATTCATGCCTGTCCTCAGTTGCTGTTTTTTTTCACATCTCAGATCCTGGTTTCTTGCCTTTTCTTGAAGGGACATTTGGAGCCCTCTGATCATTTTGGTTGCCATCTTCTGCATGTTTTGCAGCTGAATTATATTTTTCAAATGTAACCAGCACTGCATTGAGATGCAGAAATACCACACATTTGTACAAATTGCTTTAATTTTCAATGCATTTCTAAAGTTCCCTTGTGCAGGACATTTTTTTCACAGCTGCTACACCCCAAGCTGATATTTTCATTGTCCTATTACTTTGATTCCCAGTTCTTTTTTCCAGAATTCCTGACAGCTCAGACTCTTATCAGCATATATGTGCAGTTACTTTTTTGTGCATTTTATACTTAACCTACCTGATCCTGTATTGATGCATGTTTTGCCCAGCTTAAATAGGAATTGGAAGATCATTGACTATATTTCGGACTACCTAGAAATGAACAAGGTGATTACTAGAAGCCAGCATGGGTTTGTTAAAAAAGATCATGACAGATAAATCTTATTGCCTTCTTTGACAAAATGACTAAGTTAGTGGATCAAGGAACTGCTGTGGATATATCATCTTCATAAATGAGAATAGAATAGAATAGAATAGAATAGAATAGAATAGAATAGAATAGAATAGAATAGAATAGAATAGAATAGAATAGAATAGAATATTGGAGGTCTTCTAGTCTAGCCCCCTGCTCGAGCAGGAGATACCATTTCAGACAAGTGACTCTCTTCTTAAAAATCTCCAGTGATGGAGCGCTCACGATTTCTGAAGGCAAGCTGTTCCACTGGTTATCTGTCCTCACTGTTAGGAAATTTCTCCTTAATTCCAGGTTGCTTCTTTCTTTGGTCAGTTTCCAACCATGTTTCTTGTCCTGCCCTCTGATGCTTTGGAGAATAATGTGACCTCCTCTTCTTTGTGGCAGCCCCTCAAATACTGGAATACTCCTATCATGTCTCCCCTAGTTTTTCTCTTCTTTAGACTAACCAAGTCGAAGTCCCATAGCCATTCTTTGTATGTTTTAGTCTCTAGGCCTTTGATCATCTTAGTTGCTCTTCTCTGAATTTTTTCCAGACTCTCAACATCTTTTTTGTGATATTGTAACCAAAATTGGCTGCAGTATTCCAGGTGCGGTCTTACTATGGTTTTATAAAGCAGTACTAATACTTTGTGTGATCTTGATTCTATGCCTGAATTTATACAACCCAGGATTGTATTAGTTTTTTTGGCTGCTGCTGCATACTGCTGGCTCATAGTCAAGTGAGAGACAAAAGGGGAGCTAATCAGATTTGCAGGCAACATCAGGCTAGAGGGAATTGTCACCACTTTGGCAGATAAGCTCAAGATTCAGAAGAATCTTGGTGGACTTAAACATTGGACCGTATACAGCAAGATGCAGTTCAGTGATGTGAAAAGTAAGGTCCTACAGTTAGGCAGAAAAAACCAAATGCACAGGTATAGAATAGTTGCACCTAGCTTAACAGTAGTAAGTGTGAGAGAGATTTAGGTAACCCAATAGACCACCACTTAAGTATGAGCCAGCAGTGTGCTACAGCTGCCCAAAAAACCAATGCAGTCGTACTTTGCATCAGCAGAGCAATAAGATCATGAGAAGTGATAGTACCACTTTATATTATACTGATGAGCCCAAACTTAGAATATCATGTCCAGTTCTGGTCATCATGATATAAAAAGTATGTTGAGACTTTAGAGAGAATGCAGAGAAAAGCAATGAAGATAACAGGTTTGGAAGCTAAACTGTATGATGACCAGTTAAGAGAACTAGGTGCGTGTAGCCTAATGAAAATAAGGATAGGGGATGAAATGATAGCTATCTTTCACTAGAGGGACTGTCACAGAGAAGAGGGGATTGTTTTCCAAAGCACCTGAGGGCAGGAAAAGGATTACTAAAGAGAGATCCAACTTAAAACTAAGGAGAAATTTCATGACAATGAGAACAGTCAGTGGAACAGCTTGCCTCCGTTTCTGGAATTTTCAAGAAGAGATTGGACAACCATTTGTCTGAGATGATGGAAATGATGGATATTCCCTTGGAAGAAGCTATAATAATTTTCTCAATTGAGATAAAATTATCTGACACTAAAATCATTATTGTTTTCTGTGTCAAATTCCATATTTGAGCAAGCCCCTGTAATATCCAGGCTGTTTTAGACAAAGTTATGTATATCCATTACCGTCTGCCATTTGACTTGCTTATGGAATGAAAATAGTGATAAAGATTACTGTGTTAGGTTGATTGCCCCAGAGACTGCATGTGGGTAATGCAAACTTATTATTTTGAGCCACTCAAGATTTTTGAATATTGTTGGTCAAATTTAATTATACAGTGGTACCTTGATATTTGTCAATAATTTGTTCTGGAAGATGCAATGAATACTAAAACCGACTAATTTTGAGAAAACCACATGACTTACCTTGTGACTCACTATTTCAGCCAGAAGAAATAGTGAATCATGAGGTAGCTGATGTCAACAATTTCTTCCTTATGCATTCAATACTGGGAGAAAAATGAGTCCCAGGACAAAATTTCTGCTTTAAAATGCATTGAATACCGAATTTGATGAGTTTTGAAGCAGTTGAGTGCCGAAGTATGACTGTATTGGCAAATATGTGCAACATGGTTTGGTATTAGGTTATATGGACCTTGGAGGTCTTTTAGTCCAACTTCCTACTTGAGCAGACCTTCTATCATTCTAGACAAACTGTTGTCCAGTCTTTTCTTAAAAACCTCCTGTGATGCAGCACCCACAATTTCTGGAGGAAAGCCATTCTACTGATTAATTGTTCTTACCATCAGGAAATTTCTCCTTAGTTCTAAGTTGGATTCCTCTTTAATGATCTTCTATCTGTTACTTCTTGTCTGGCCTTCAGGTGTTTTGGAAAATAGGTTGTCCCCTCTTCATGAGAGCTCCTCAAGTGCTGTTGTTATCTCACCCCTAGTCCTCTTTATTAGACTAGACATACCTAGTTCCCTCATTGTATGATTTAGCCTCCAGACCCATTATCATTGTTGCTCTTCTCTGTATTCTTTCTAGGGACTCAGCACCTTTTTTGTATCAGTGAGCATAACTGCATGCAGTATTCCAAGTGTGTGGTCTTACCAGTACAGTATAAAGCTGCACTATTACTTCTTAGAATCTAGATGCCATCCCTCTGTTGATGCAGCCTAGGACTGACTGCATTGGGGTTTTTTGGGCAGTTGCAGCATCCTGCTGGCTTATACTTAAGTGCTAGTCCACTAAGACATTAGATTCCTCTCATTTAATACTACTGTTGAGCCAGGTACCGCCTGTTCTATACCTGTACATTTGGTTTTTCTTGCCTATGTATAGGACCTTACTTTTGTCACCACTGAATTGCAATTTATTGAATAAGGCCCAGGGTTTAAGTCCATCAAGATTCTTCTGAATCTTGAGTTTGTCTTCTGAAATATTAACTATTTCCCCCAGGCTGGTGTTGTCTGCAGATTTGTTGAGTTTCCCTTCTATTCCTTCATCTAGCTCTTTTACCAAAATGTTGTACTAGGCCCAATAGAACCTTGAAGTACAACACTGCATGCTTCCCTCCATGTAGATAAGAGGTCCCCAGTCCCTGATCTGTGGCCCGGGACTGGTCTGTGGCCTGTTGGGAACCAGGCTGTGCAAGTGGCAAGTGCGCGAAGCTACATTTGTACAAGTGGCGGGCACACACAAACCATCCCTTCTCCCCCCTCCCCCCCGCTGCTGCTGCTGTT